CCTGCCAAAGCATTGATAGAAATCTCCATAACTTCCTTTTCATTTGATTCAGATTCTTTTTCCTCCTTTGATTCACCTTCCTCCTCAATGATTTCAGTATTCTCATCAAACCTCTTACACAACTCTTCAGAGAAGATTCTCCAATCTGCATTAGGGTGTCTTGCAAGGAAACCATAGAACCAAATGTCCGCTTTACCTTTCAAATGAATCTCTGCAATTCCCAATCTAAGTTCATCAGGGGTTTCATGAAGTTGGAAATATTTCATGGCTTTCCTTAGCCATTCCCTAGGTCTTTCTCCCCCAAATTGTGGGAAATCAATTTTAGGGAACCTGGTATTTCCCTCAAGTCCACATGTGGCATTAACACTATTCTCATTGCTATTAGTTCCTAGCATATATATATATCACTCTCAGACCTTAAGTTAACCACAGATCCTTCTATTACTTTGTTTCCCTGCTTTATTCCAAGACCAGCAGATATTTGTGTCAACATAGCCATCATTTTCTCGTACTTTTGATTCAAACCCAATAAGGCATTCTCAATGTTTTCTTGCCTGTGACAAAATACCTGGAGGTTTTGATTTGTTGATTCCAGTTTGGCCTCCAATCTGCTCGTAACTGTACCAAAATCAACTATTTTCAGATCCAGCTTCTTCATATGAACATCCACTGCCTTAGACCTTGTATCCATATCTATCAGTTGCCCAGTATAATACGTTTTCTCTGATACCATTTGTCACGGTTGGACTTCAGCTTGATCCTCAACGTAACTGCAGCTGAGAAGATGGTGATTTCCAGCTGGAATTGTAACCAAATAAAGGAAGAAAAATAGAATGGGGGAGGGATTAAATGATGTAAAATAAGAAGAAGGAGAAGAGAGAATCTGTTGAACGATTTCAACAATTCACTGAAAATATCACAATACACACAAATCACAGACGTTCCTCTTTGCACATGGGTCACAGATATATATAACCAAACAACACCCTAAAATTAATGGGCTTTGGGCTAGCCCACTAATTATACAAACCCAAATACATACAATATAAGGCCCAAACTATTCTGGTAATTCTGTTGGCTGCCTTCTTCCTTCTTCATCTGTCGTTTGTATCTGTTTTGCCTTGAGTCCCTTTCTTCCACATTGAGCTCCCTCATGACAGTTTTCTTGTGAAAGTTCGTGGTTCATGCACTTTGGATCAGATTACTTGCAGATTGGTTAGCCCCGATTTGCATTCAGGTTCTTTGGACAGTTTCTGTTCTTCGTTCAGTTCGTTCAGCTTCAGTGAAGCTGGTGTTCGTTGGTTTTGTAGGCCAGTTTGGTTGTTTCCGGATTCAATTGGTCAGTTGTGGTTTTAGTCTTGGACAGCACAGCTTCTGGCTCAGCTTCGTGTCGTGTGAGAGAGGCCTAGGGGTTTTGCGGGATGGTGGTGGGAGATGTGGCGACGGGACCGGTGGTGGTAGGGTGGTGGTTTATTTTCCATTGGATGGGATGGGGTGGGGTGGGAGATGAACATTCTTTTTTTAAATTATTTTTGAAATTTTTAATTCATTTTTTAAACTTAATATGTACATAAGGTGTTTGAAACGGGATACATACGTGCATCTCACTCAATAGTCCAAACTGCCTCGTGCACTTGAAACATTAGCATACAAGCCTAAAACAAGCATGACAATTGGATATAAAAGGAATAATACATCGATTGATCCTTATAAAAGAACATGTTTATCATCTCCTACTTGCAATATCGGTTGAATTGATTCAACCATTATCATTACATAATTTACAAGTGAAGCAAGATATTTTGATAGATTCTACTTTTCACACTCTTTAGAGCACCAAAAGGTGGACGAGATATGAGAACTTAAGGATAAAATAAGGGAAAATTGCAGTCGAGATACCAAACCTTTCACTTATTTGTAGACTTGGCCCCAACCTTTAATTTGTACCACCTACAATATCAAACATTTAAAAAAATTGCAGCAACAGTCCAAATTGACGAATTCTGTTAGTTTTACATTAAAAACTGTTAGTTGACCTCAGAAATTAAAAATTTAATAATTCTTCCCAAATAAGCTAAGGGTATTTTGGACATAAATAAAATAATTAAATCAAACCAAAAAAAAAAACCATTTATCTTCCCCACCCCACCCAAAACTAAAACCCCCAAATATTCAATCCAATTATCTCTGACGCCACCCCACCCAATTATCTCCGACGCCACATCTCCAGTCTCACCATCTCACCTAAAACTCCACAACAGCCTCACCAAAGGTAAAATCAAAATCTACCTTTGATGCTGTCGTTGGTGTGCAACTTGCGACTGAGAGAGGTGGAGAGAGAAATCGGAGGGCTTAGAGACTATCATTCATGTGCAACTTGCGGCTGAGAGAGGTAAAGAGAGAAATCAGAGCATTACAGGCAGCGTGACTTGCAGTAGGGTTGGGGTGGTGGTGTTTAGATTGAATGTATATTTGAGGGTTCTGCAAGTTTGTGAATGGCTGCAATTTTTCCTTAAATTAAACATTCTGTTTAATTTGGATTTTGCTTTCATCTTAGCGAAATCTGGATTTTTTACTTGGTTTTTGTCACGGTTGGACTTCAGTTTGATCCTCACCGTAACTGCAGCTCAGAAGATGGTGATTTCCAACTGGAATTGTAACCAAATAAAGGAAGAAAAATAGAATGGGGAAGGGATTAAATGATGTAAAATAAGAAGAAGGAGAAGAGAGAATCTGTTGAACGATTTCAACAATTCACTGAAAATATCACAATACACACAAATTACGGACGTTCCTCTTTGCACATGGAATATGTTGAACGATTTCAACAATTCATTGAAAATATCACAATACACACAAATTACGGACGTTCCTCTTTGCATATGGGTCACAAATATATATAACCAAACAACACCCTAAAATTAATGGGCTTTGGGCTAGCCCACTAATTATACAAACCCAAATACATACAATATAAGGCCCAAACCATTCTGGTAATTCTGTTGGCTGCATTCTTCCTTCTTCATCTGTCGTTTGTATCTGTTTTGCCTTGAGTCCCTTTCTTCCACATTGAGCTCCCTCATGACAGTTTTCTTGTGAAAGTTCGTGGTTCATGCACTTTGGATCAGATTACTTGCAGATTGGTTAGCCCCGATTTGCATTCAGGTTCTTTGGACAGTTTCTGTTCTTCGTTCAGTTCGTTCAGCTTCAGTGAAGCTGGTGTTCGTTGGTTTTGGCAGGCCAGTTTGGTTGTTTCCGGGTTCAATTGGTCAGTTGTGGTTTCAGTCTTGGACAGCTTCTGGCTCAGCTTCGTGTGGTGTGAGAGAGGCCTAGGGGTTTTGCGGGATGGTGGTGGGAGATGTGGCGACGGGACCGGTGGTGGTCGGGTGGTGGTTTATTTTCCATTGGGTGGGGTGGGGTGGGGTGGGAGATGAACATTCTTTTTTTAAATTATTTTTGAAATTTTTAATTTATTTTTTAAACTTATTTGGTGGAAATTGTGTATAATTCCGAAATTACCCTTGTCATTTTGGTGGAAATTATAATTTTTTTAATTTTTAGGGTCAACTAACGATTTTCGTGGTCAACTGGACGGAATCCGTCGATTTGGATTGTTGCTGTGATTTTTTTAAAGGTCTGGTATCGTGGGTGGTACAAATTAAATGTTTGAGCAAAGTCCGCAAATAAGTGAAATGTTTGGTACATTGACTGCAATTTTCCCATAAAATAATGTTATTCATATGCACTGCCTATCATAGTTTATGTGACATTCTGGCTTAAAACATATAAGTAGATCTGATAAAGTAGCTAGAGTCTGTTGATTTCGATTCGGAAACCTTTGCCCACCCTTATTCAACTTTATAAAAATATCGAGATGAAGAATCTGATTGCAACTTAAATAATTAGATTGTATTAATAATGAAAACATCAAAATGAAAACGGAAACAGGAACAACACGATCTCAATCAACAATATGTAATTCATTAGCTAGCACACCAAACGTTTTATTACAAGTGTACAACGTATGAAGCAGTAAAAATGTACAATAAAAAAAAAAAAAAAAGGTGAATGGGCTATAAGAAGAAGCAGAAACACAATTTGAAGATAAAAAATTGAGCCACCCCTGTCATTCCAACTTGCTCGATTGATCTTACTCCAGGCAAATAAAAATATCGTTGGCTGGACTGTTTGAGATTGACGGGAAGAACAAAGAAGAAGAGGCGATTGATTAGGAGAGGAAGATGCAATCAACTTTGAGAGAGATCAATTCCAATATACAAAAAATTCCACCTTTTTTTGAGGCCCTAAGCCCAAGCCAAATATTGGAGGCCCTAGGCCCGTGCCTAGGTCCTCTACTTTCTAGGTCTCGATTAACACTTGAGGTTTCATTTTCAGATATCAACCTTGTTAAAAATAATAACCTAAATCCTTTTACCTTGGTTAATATTTTTATATTTCTCTTAACATGCTAGCCCCAAGTTAACCTTTCTAGGTTGCTTTGATCTCTACATATTTTAATTTGACATGATTTTTGCTTTTGCTTTTGCTTTTGTTTTCTATATCAGAGCTTTTAGAGGTAGTTTCTTAATTTTTCTTTGAAGATTAATTTTTGGAAGAGTTCACTATTTCGAAAGTACTTTTAGAGGAAATCACGTTGAACTAAAATCCTCTAAAAGCTGCTTCTAATCGGAAGAAACACTTCCATAAAATTAGTCAATTGGGTTCAAAAACAACTTTGGATTTCAAAAATTTCTTTTGACTTTTCAAAACTTAAGATGGTTTGTTCAAAAGTACTTATGTGGGTCGTGAATAATAAACCTTACTGGCCTTTGAGAAATAAAGGAAATGCGACTCATCTCTGTCGCTACATCATGTTTATGTATTCAAGATTACACAAATAGATGACGGATACATTGTTACACATAATTCCCTCGAGAAATCACTCCAAGGAGGTTCTTTAAGAAGGATAAGTTTGTAAAAGTGCTTAAAACAGAAAATTGTCAGCTTTGGCAATTGTGATCCTCGCTACAGTCACTGCTATCATTACGTTTATCCAATATCGTGCTTTGATCCTCTATAGGGTTCATGTCATCGTGGATGCTACCATCTGCCACGAGAGGAAAAGGTAGCATTAAGCTGTTAAAATGAGAACAGAAAACCGTACAGTTTATGTGCTAGATGTCAGGTTGGGTTATGCATACCTTTGCCATCATCTGTAGGAGCATAAGCTGACCGTCTTGAACGCACTTGGTCGTGTGGTGTTGGCTGTGAAATTTTTAGGTCAAAGTCAGATGAAATTATATCTGGTGACTACAAGACGAGATAATATTACCGAAGAAAATGAAGCTAAGTTCTTGTCTATTAATAAGAGGTCCAGATAGAAGATGAAATCAGTAAAGTTATGTGACGAAGTACCAAAGTACCTGTAATTTTGGGCGAAGTGCCTCTAGTGGTCCTTTGCTCTTCTGCGCTCCTTGCTGTCATGTGATGACGAATGTCATGATACGAGCGTACAAAACTAAGCTCCCGTTTGACAATCAGTATTTGAAAACTCTTTTTTTCTACGTACTCATTTTTAACCACACATCCATACAATAAAATATTTTGCATATAAACCCAAAACTTTATTCTACGTTTTTAACCTTTCATTCTTTTAAAAGTTACAATTCAAAACATTGCTTTGACCAAATACTGGTTATCAAATAGGGGCTGAGTCTACTCCAGATAAACTTGGAGTCGCCAATGATTCTTTTTTCTCTGTTCAGTTCATTGAAAGGGTAAACTCAAGTAAAAGAAGAAAAATTACCTTTCCTAAAGCCCAATCAGCAGAATCAAAAAAAGCATGTTCATGGTCCTGGCAAAAATGTCGAAGTTACGGATGAGCAAATGAACTTTAGGACTTCATGGGACATTGAAAAGTGATGAACGTGTAATTTGATTACCTTAGAGATCAGTGGAGGTTTCTTTGGTAATAGCCCTCCATACTTTTTCTTGACTATTTCCTCCTGAAAAAATAGACACATAACATAAAGAAAATTATGAAAAAGTGCAAATTGTCAACCAACATGCTATAGAATGTATTGATAACTGTTAGAATCGGGTTTCAACCATCTTATTTGAACATCCATCGGTGTCAAGTGAGAGTAGGTTAAAATTTTTTATGGCATTAGATCACTATCGTTGGAGTGATCCAAACCATGGTCTACATAGAAACTTTGTTGCAACTATTAAACAAGTCATTGGAGTTGAATTTCTATATCATGATTGAGAATAAAGAAAGCTGTTCATCGATATACCTCCTGCTGCTGGTCGGGCATGAGATTTTCGTCCTTTACGTCAACATCTTGTTGATCTCCTGGAGATGAATTCTCAGTCTCTTGAACTTTTGGAGTACTATCAAGAAGATTAATTTTCTCCTGAGTAGCTTGATCACTTTCCCCTGACATTGGATAATACTTTCTAGGCAACACTGTAAACTTATACAGGTTTAGTAGTGCTAAGCATGAATATTGAATTTTACTTATAGCTTCTATCTAGCATGTTAAAACTTGTCATACTCGTACACATATGCCTCCCAGTCGGGACGCTCGCTATGTTCTAATCGTATACTATTTGGTTTGTGTGTTCGTGTATGTGTGCACGTGTTACGGTGTGCATACTTTTGTCTAATTGAGTACTGCATGCTAAGAGATAAAGAAGTGTACCTGATCTTAGAATCGACAAGCTACTGAAGAATTGGACCGGGAGCTGAAGGCAAAAACGCAGATTGCACTCTTTGATGAGTAAATAGAATAAATGGGGGCATCTGTAATTTGATTTATGCCATTGGTATTGGGGACTGATTCGATTTGGATAACAAGAATTTTATAGCTGGCAATGAGAGAGTTGAGATTCTTTTGAGAAAAAAATATTTATTGAATGGTTGGTGTTAGAGCTAAGTGGATCTTTGATTAACAACTTCGATTGGATTTGATGCTGTAATTGGCATGTTGGTGTTACTTACATTCTTAAGTTTATTAAAAATTAAATTCTAATTTCTGTCGTATTTGAACTGAAGTTAAATCGACAATAAAAAATATAATAAAAATTTTCGGGGTGCACTGGCCAGTTTTGCGGGCGAACAGGGCATGTTCCTTGCTCGTTTACCACTTTTTGTATTTTCAATTGTTTTAATATAAGAGCATCTTCAACGATAATGTAAATTATAAGTTACTCGATTTTCTTCTCAACATTGTAATCAATATATTTCGGCTCCACTCTCGTCCACGTGTCAAGCTCCTACACACTTGGACAAACGTTATGTGCACGTGACCTTCTCTGATAGGCGGTCATCGATACTGATAAGTGTATTTTGCACAATTATCTATGCAATTAAATTAGGATATTTTGTATTACTTTTGATAAATTATAGTATAATCTCGCATATTTATCGTTTGCTAGGTAAAACTTAGTGAGTGAAGTAAAATTGGAAGAAATGAATGAAAAATGGCTAATATGAACGAAATTCAAAATTTGAGGATCAAATTGCAAATATTCAATAGTTGATTCGAACTATAAAACGATGAATGAAGATCACATAGGATCAATTGAATGCAATTAGAAGTCAAAAATGAGTTAAATACAATTAAAGGATTTTCATAAATCAATTTTCAACCGCACAAGTCATGTTCCAGATTTTTAATCAGAGTTTGTGACCTATTTTTAGAATATTAAATGTTTGAATTGGAAAAATACTATTCAACAATAATTGTAACCCTTTAAGTTAGCTTTTCAATGTACTTTGAAACGTCTCATTTGAATATCGAAAAAGAAAGATATGATTAAAATACCAATGACTGTGCAAAGACATAACCATGCACCTGCGAAGTCAACTTTCCTAATTTGATTGAAACTCTTTTGGAACCCAATTTGGAGGTTTTTTTTTTTAATACCTAATTTACCTTATATAATATAAGATATGGGTACCCTGAAGGATCTCTCTCTCACCTCTCAAATCACATTAATATCATAAAATCATTCAAAAACAAGGGATAAAATCATCATAAGATGGAGATGAAAACAAATCTAATACGTGGATTGAATCAAGAACATCAAGAATTTGAAGAATTAAAGCTTGGGGATTGAAGAACAATAACAAGAATTAGACCATGACATCTTTTTCTTGTAGTTATAAATTTCGGGTGATGCTTTTCCATTCTTCTTGTTATTTTATCTTTAAAAACATGTTTAGCTAGATCTGTAATTGAATTGGATGAAGATGAGCCATATTGTTATTTATTTTATTTCAAGACTAGTAATTTAGTATTTCTTGCGTTTTTTGATTAATTTTGCATATTCATTGCATTATTTAATTTCTTGATCATCAATTAGATAATTAATTATTTGTTGTAGTGTTGATAGAAACACAACAAGTTTAGAACACGGTAAAATTAACATATGTGCGATAGATGTTAGGAATAACATTTATCACGTGTGCAATCATATAGATAATTTAAAATTTAATGCAATCTAATCATTCGAATTCGGGTTATGAACAGATTCGGGTCGTGATTATGATAGAATTAAGTTGTATTGGGTAACAAAATTATATATATTAGCTTTATCGATTGTCGAGAACGCATGAATAAGACTAGTTTACAAATCATGTATTGAAACATATAGCAATAGGTGGAGTCAATACAATCATCCATAATTTGATAAAAACCAATATTTTCTAGTTTTCCAAAGATTAATTTAGCATAAATCAAATCAAACTCTCTTTCACTTAACATAACTTGAATTCCATACGAAACTAGTACACTTGAATTGAATTTATTTTATGTGGAACGATACTATCAACTCATTAATTCTATTAGTTGTCAACGATCTAGTACATTTGCAAGTTTCGCACAAACATGTATTGCGACGATCAAGTCAGTCAATGTATTTGAGCGTGGAATGAACAATTAACGAGATTCACAAGTATGTGTATAATACCAGGTTTGAAGAGAGAATATAGCCAAGCAAAGTTAATGTTGGAAGCATAATATTGCATTACATTTGACTGGCACTAAGTATGAGTTTTTATATTAGAAGGAAAGATGCGATTACCGTTGGATGGACGACACGTGGCCTCATCTGAATGGCTAAGGGGTCAACCTTATCGATGTCACGACCTTTGTTGTTCTAGGTTAGATGCAACATTAAATGATTCTGAAAAGTGATCACCCTATAGTCTAAATATGTCATTTTAAAGGTGTGTTGAAAAATTAATTGAGAGGCATCTGCTGCCGGAATATTAAAGATGCCTTGTGGAATAACGACTCATTGCATTAGCAACATGGTGCATGTAGATAGCTACAATATTTATGTAGTCAAAATTAAATATATTAAAAGTGTTATTCTTTTGCTTCATTTGAAAGCAAAAAAGGTTTTCTCCTGTATGTGGATAGCTACAATTGGTCGGCAATGTGCATAGAAGTAATCACTTTCAAATCCCTCATTCACAACTCGAGTTAAAGTGATAAGATGTCATGTAACAGTTCAAAATACAAAAATATATGAAGAAGATAATGCCCAAAATATTTCTACCCTTGCCCTACACGATCTCCAATAATGCCACTGAGCTTCTCTTTTCTAGTCACAGACATGAGACATGTAAGTAACCTTAAATCTCTCAAAAGTTAGCATCATAGTTTAAATCAAATACTTAACCAGTCACACACATTTGAGCGTTGATAACATTTCTTGATCCTTCAGAAGAATGTAATCACCTTATATCTTGCATGTGGAGAAGATGTGTGGAAGGTGTAGCCACGGATGACTTGCCGGCGAGCTTGTCACATGTTTGTTTATATGAAAATTGTTTCGTAATTTACTAAAATTTCTTATTTGCTCAGAGCCCTATAGAATTATGGGACACAATATTCAGGGGTGTGTCTCGTCGGAGAGTCATCTTTGACTACTTGTCAATCACGTATTCAAATGTCAGATATACGATGATTGCGAGAAATGAGTTAGTGACAATGTCACAATATTATGCGCAATGGCACAAGTTCTGCTAATGAAGTGAGTTTCTCAGTCCTCTATTTTAGCGGCACTTTCTTTCACTTTATACAAGTTTTTTTCAAAAAAGGACCTATTTCCTTGACATTGTTCTCCAACAATGACAAAAGATACATTGAATTTCAAACCCTGGCATATGCCATAGTGGGCCTCAAAAAGGGTTAAATTTATTTAGGTGATATATACAATATAACTATCAAGATTTTAATTTATTTTTCTTTTTTTTAGTATTGTTGTCCGTCTACCTTACCAAAATCATTCAGGTATACGTGTTTGATAATCCAATGAGATAATGTTGCTTGGATTCTTAATAACAGACGAGTACTTTCATTGTTAAGGCAGTGATTTGGGTGTGGAGTTTGGAAGAATATTAGGTTGCTAATTAGCAGAAATTAATGGCATTGCAGCGTTGTATGTCTTCAAATCTTCAACAAAAAGGACCACTTCTTGGACGTTAGCCTAATCATAACATATACCCCCGTTTGGTGCACATTTTTGAAATTTTTTATGCACATATTTTATCAATTTTTATTAAGCCACCGTTTGGTGCACATTTTTGAAAAAAGAATGCATTTTTACTGTTGATATGATGAGGAATATGTGGTTGGAAAAGAATAAAAAGTTATTGATGTGATGTAAAATATTATTTTATTGAAGATTATGTGGTTAAAAATAAGTAGAAGAATGAAAATGAAAAAAATAATGTAGATCAAACAAGGCCTTATATTTTTTTATTCCAAGTTTTTTAGGTAAATTTTGGGTTCAAATGTACTAAATTAAGGAGTCGTTTTGTCAGAGATTAAAATTGAAATATTTTTTTCTTCATAGCACCGAAAACTTATATATGCAAGTGAACAAAGTTCTTCACTCTTAATGTAATGTGATTGCTTAATATTGCTTTTGTAGTCGAGATTAGAGTTCTTGTCGCCTGAAATTAGATGACTGATTGGGCATACTGCATACACTCTCCGGGCTGATTTCTACACCATATGAAATTAAGACACTACACTTGCAATCTTTCCAACTTGAAAATGTTTGGAGCATAGTTGGGCTGATACCGCCATAGAAAAGAGATCTAAAACCTGGATTCCCTCGATCACCCTCCCTTGAAGCTGAACCGGTCAAAAGAGACGAACATGTACCACATTTTCTCACCTTTGAATCTAAACTCTAACTATAGACGAAATTCTAGAACCTAAGCAACTTCGTTGAGAGCTCCGTGATTGAAGAAGGGAAGGTCCATCAATGATTGATAGGTCATGATTTAGTTTCAAGCTCAAAACTTGTTATGGAGCAGTTCAACAAGGATTATGCAACCTAAAACTCAACCAAAGTTTATGCTGCTAAAAATGGAAAACTTAACTAGAAGACTAACAATGCCATAGATAATTGTAAACCTAAGAAAGAATTAATCTATATTGCATATGTTTGGGACAATAAAACGAAATAAAGTTTAAAATATGTTTCATATTTCAAAATCAATGTCTTGTTTTTTTTAATCAATAAAACTTTGGTTAATTGTACTAGCGGTAACCCAACGTTCATCCTCATCACAATTAGGTCGCTTAACTTCAATTTGCAATAACCTAGTTACTTAACTTCAATTTAATTATAATCGTGTCACTTCACTTTAATTAAATTACAATCATAGTGATATACTTATGTAAGCATTGGAGTGTTTTTTATTGAATTCTTGTCCTTTAGTTCCAGCTGCTTTAAAATTAATGGACGATTAATTTAGAGTGAAAGTGTTAAAAAATAAATAAATAAACACTAAGTACTAATGCTCTTCTCCTATAGTATTTTTTCCTTACAATTTTAATAAGTCGTAAGGAGTTGATTTGTCGAGTAAGTCCACTTGATGGTAACGTCCGCAGACATTATTTTTAACAACTAATTAAGTCAATGTTTGATATCAATAAAATAAATTGATTAAACTTTAAATAAAAGTCAACGATTAATTTTTAATTATAAATTTCATAGGATCCACAAATTTTCAATCACATTCCATTAACTTTTATCAAAGTCTGTTAAAAATCTTATTTTAATCTACCAAACAGGGGCTAAGCCTGTTTTTGTTATATTGTGGAGTGATTTAATCACAATTAAATTAAAGTTAAGTGACATAAATTGAATTAATTGCAGTTTGAAGAAAAGTTGGGTGACTGTACAATTAATCTATTAACCTTCCTGTGCAACTGAAACGACAGTTAGATGCGAGACAAACGACGTACAGCAGCTTCTCCAGAAGTGCAAGCCCTAACTTGCATCGATTAGGTGATATCCATTTCTATGACTAATATCATGATCTATTGATGCAATTTCCAGTGTTCTACTACTTAGAAAGGCAATTGACTTTTGGCGTCAAATGAGAATTATCTGGTACAGGAATTTTGGATAAATCTTTCAGACAGCAATCATAACTGCACACGTTTTATATTTTTCAAACTTAGTTACTGTTATTGCATGATTAAGGATCTTGTGTTTGTTTCTAAATTATATTGACTGCGCTGCTTTTCTATTCAAGCTAGAGAATTTTCCATATCATTGATGCTTATCCTATTACTGATACGATTTGGTCTGGCTTGAAACACAAAAGATTTTATACTTTGGATCATCTGGAAGAATTCAGCAATACTAAAAAAAACTTGTTTAAACATATGTTAAAAGGTTCAAATACTTTGTTCGCCTCCTTGATAATGATTGTGCTGTATCGTTTTGGCTAACAATTGATCTTTTCTTCCAACCTTCATTTCCCATACTTAAAGTCATAGACAGGTGAGCGATTAAAGTTCTTGGTATTCCAAATACTCTGTTTCGATATACTTTTGGTACAAAAGAATGTCAAAAGTGATAGAAAACAGCAATTTGAAAGAAGGCCTGCGACCTTTCTGGAGTCCTGTAAGTCTACATGAGACCTTTTTTTCTATCTGGAACCAATGTAAACAGACATTTCTCCATTTGTGTCCTCTCAGGAAATTACTATCGTTTGGAGACTGTTAGCTTCATTCCCTTTTCCATAGACAGAACTGTCATCATCCTGTACTTCACTGGATGTCCTGGAACCAATCTGAATTTATAGAATCTGCACAAAATGGCCAGTGCCATCTTCATCTGGAGATATGCTGAATCCTTCCCAAGGCCTTGGTCCTGCGTGCATGCATATAATTTACTTTCAACACGTGATGGTTTTAACAATAAGCTAGTAGTGATTGTACCTCTTTTTTTTTTTTTACCATTTCAGGATTTGTTAGTCGCAATTGTTGGGAAATGTACCTGAAATTCTGTGAATTTAGATGGAGATGCATTCTGAAATATCCCATCTTTGAGCCACCTCTCAGGCTTGAATGAAGTTGCATCCGACCCCAATTGTACTCCAATCTTCCCATAGAGTATGGAACGTATGTCACCATGCCTCCAGCCTTTACTTTGGTTCCATCTGGTAAAACATCATTTTCTAATATACCTTTGGGATCCTGCATATCAGTTACTTCACTTTCTATCTTGGAATGCATTAAATTTGAAAATACGTAGTTCGACCCTAACAACACCTAGAGGGGGATGCATAGGTGATTATGCAGAATTAAAATTACTTAACAATTAAATAGCAACAAGTCACTATTAATTATTTTCTAGATGGTTAATCATGCAATTCATATCTTACTATGTGGAATTACCGCAATTATGAAAGCAATAAATAACCTAGAATTGATCACGGAGAAACCCAACTTAGTAAAAACTCCGGGCACTTTGCCAGTCAACAAACAACTATAAACGATTTATAACTTACAGTCTACCAGACTAGACGACGACACGTACTAACTGATCTCCTAACTGTAATTCTAACAGCTCTCCGGGATTCTGTGCTCCTGCATCAACTCCCAACTGCAGTTTCCAAAGCTCTCTTGGATTGCGCTCTCCTGCAGCAACTCCCAGTTTTGTGAAATTATCCATCTCATGTGGATTCATGAAGAACAACGCCTTCATCAACGACTGGAACTACAGTCACTTTCCCTTAATCTTTAGAAACTCTGACATATATGGAGGGAGCAACAGTTTGGTATTTGAATTCTGAATCTGATGTTTTTCTCACCGTCAAGAACAAATCACTATGTGATTAATGAAGGTTGAAGAATAATTGATGAAGAGAATATGAAAAGCTCAGTGTTTGCTTAATGATTAACCTTAGAAAAATCGTTCTGCGGCGTTTGGATATTTATATGTAAGTTAGGGAATGAATGGGCCGGACAAAAAGCCTTTAAAAAACGAATTAAAAAATTCTTGGATAGCACTGTTGCTCAAGCGAAGGGTGAGCAACAGGTTGTCACTCGAGCGAAGGTGAGAGTGAGCGATGCAGTTTTTGTTTTTGACGCTTGAGCCAAACCTTGATGATAAGCTAGCGATATTCCGGCGTCGTTTTTCCTTCTTTTCCATTCTCGAACCCTAGACCTAAAATATCACAACTTTCATTAATTGCACACTACTCCCTGACTTTTTACAACATATCAACTTTAGTCTTTTTTTTGTTCACAGACTTGCCAATTACATTAAATACCTAACAAAATTAATTGAGAAATCTCTAACCTGGGGAACAGCTGGGTATAGTCGAAGTGTTTCTGTAATCACAGCAAGCAAATAATACAGTTTCCCTAAGGAATCATAATTCAGAAGTCCTGCAAATTGCTCCTCTCCGATTGAATGATTCAGGATCCTCTGTTTGATGCATATCAAATGAGACATCCTCCTCTTTTGCACTATCTTCTTCAAAACTTTCTAGTTCTGAGTATAGCTTGTTTGCTACATCTTCATGGGATATTATCATGTAGATAGCCCACACAAGTGTTGCAGCAGTGGTATCACGCCCCGCAATTACAAAGTTTAGGACAACATCTCTCAGGCTTTTATCAATCATATTGTTCTTGGGATCTTTGCTCAGCTCGATGAATCTCGACAGTATGAAGGGGCGGACCCACATGCGGTCATGTGGGGTCAAATGACCCCAAATGACCCCACCATTTTTTTATTTTTTTGTTATTTTTTGAGTTTTCCTCTTTGAGTTTTTTATTTTTTACCTAAACATTGTTGAATTCTCATTTTTGACCCCACAAGAAAAATGGTCTCGGTCCGCCCTTGACAGTATGTCATGCTTGACCTGATCATGTTTATGAAATAAATAGCCAACATTGAAAGTAACAAGTGTATAAATTAGTTCATGTTATCTGGTAATATAAAGTTGAAATCAAGTCACCTTTTCATCTTTATTATACCCTCTGGCTTCGTCTATTTCTGCTTTTCTCCGCCGTATGACAGAGTACGTAAAATCATCAACAATTTTAATACTCTGATCAAGGATAACTTCTGATCCCACATTAACGAATTTCTTACTCTCCACAAAGGGTCAATGAATCTAAGAGTTACTATAATGTTTGCAGTATCAAAGGCCTTGGCAAAAAGATTGTCTGGTAAATTGGGAGCCAATGATCCTAAAAGGTGTGGTTTAGGGTGGAATGTTATTGAGTCTAGAGTCATTCTCATTAGGAGTTCCTGGAAGGAAAAAGATGAATACTTGGATAACCTTCAATGATTTCTCCCACTACAGATTTGCAAGGATTGGATAACAAATCATGATGGAAATTCAAGATCTCTTCAAATTTTATAATAAATTAATTCCGAAGATAATTTCATGTTTGTAAAAGTATTTAGTTTGGCTCATGCATTACTATATTGACATTTTGGTACCTTGGCCTAGACAAGATTAAGCTAGAGAAATACATGAGATATTCATATGTTGCCGTGTCTAGTTCCGCGGACCGAACATGTCCTGCAAGTTGGCAACAAAAATCTAATTTTGTTCTCAATAAATATGATATAGTTATATAGACATATTTTTTGTTACTTCTTTCCTTCACTATTAAATTTGTTGAAACATCTAATGAAATTATAAAAAAAATTGATGATTTTTCCTTGGTAACTAAAAAAATCAAATAATAGTTCTAGATCACGGTCTATACGTGGTTGGCCATGTTTTTCAATTTTTTTCGCTTCGTGTTCCTATGCTCAATTTTTCTTCTATTCGTATTCATATGCTTGAGCCTAGAGGTTTAAATTTCGTAGTCTTACTTTCTCTTTTTCGTTTCAAATAAATTGATAATGTCCATAAATCAAAGTGGCCACACCATTTAGGTGGTCAAGGACTGGCAAATTATCATTCCCTCAACCTCGACCCACCTCGTTGACATCTCTAGCTGGTTTTAAAAAACAAAAGGTATCATTAACTATAAAAGTTAGGAAAAATTGTAGGTTTTCGTCTATTTGACTATCAAAACCGTTAGTTGACCCAAGAAATGAAAAAAAATTAATAATTTTCACCAAATTGACAAGGGTAATTTGGGCATTACACACTTTTCATTCCTATTGTCATTCATTTTCCTTATTTTCACTTCAGCATTAGCTTCACTCCATCTATCAACTTTTACACTTTCTCCAACTAATTAATTCCACACACAAAGGAGCCATTTTAATGTGTGAAGTTTCTTGCAAAGTTACAAATCAAGAGCTGAAAAGAAAGAAATTCTTAGCTTTTTTCATAAATTGAAAGTACAAGAACGAGAATGTTAGACGTGGACAGGAGGATAATCGAATTAAATTCGGCTCACTTGGCCGGCCTACACCTCCTTTCTGCCAAAGTCTCTGCTCCCTCAATTCTTTAGCATCATCAACCATCTCAAGAATTCGGGCATCCAAGTTCGACAGAGATTATCTGAAGCAGAATTTGAGTTAGCGGAGGAGAGTTTGGGTTTGCCTTCCCGCCAGACCTCAAAGCTGTGCTATCGGCTGGTTTGCCTCTAGGACATGGCTTCCTCGACTGGCACTATTCTGGTTCTACTCGCCTGCAACTCCGCGCCTCCATTAACCTACCAATCGCCTCCATTACCTTTCACATAGCACAGAATGCTTTGTGGTCCAAGTCTTGGGGTCGTGCCCATTTTCATCATTGATTTCGTCCATGAAATTTTCATTTGCGTCGGGAAACCACATCTTCATAGATTCATCTCTATCTACGTGTTGAGTTTTCATTACTAACTGTGGGAGAGAGAATGATATTAATAATGATGAAAATGGATGGAAAGTGAACAGTGAAATGCAATCATAGAAAGGGAAAGTGTGTAATGCCAAATTGCCCTAGTCTATTTGATGAAAATTATTAAAAAAAATTCATTTCTGGGGTCAACTAAAATCTGGATTGGAGCTGCGATTTTTTTAAAGGTTTGGTACCTCAGGTGGTACAAATGAAAGGTTTGGACAAAGTTTGCAAGGGTAATTGGCGCAAAACGTCCCTACCTTTAAAGGGTTGTGTGGAAAACATCCATACGTGTTTGTTTTTTTTACGTATAACGTCCTTACCTTTCAAGTTTATTGTAGAAAACATCAATACCTTTCTTTTTTTGGCACAAAACGTCCCTACCTTTTGCATTTCTTTGCACTAAACGTCCTTTACACATTTTTTTAATTGAAGATGACTAATATACCGTCCTATGTAAATAGAACAAGAAAAGAAATAAAAGAAAAATAAAAAAAATTACAATTATAGGCCTGAACTTTTTAAAATGTGCAAATAACCACCATATATTTCAAAATCCAACTTAAAAAATCAGGTTTGTTTCAAATTTTAAAATTCAGATTATAATTAAAAATTTTAATACTAATAATAATATTATAAAATTAGTTTAATTTACATAAACATCCTACACCATTAACCCTAATCATTTTCCTCTTCCTTCTCTTTCTCTCTACCTCTTCCTTCTCTCCTCTCTTTTATCACACCGCCAATTCCTCTCGTCCGCCTTCGATTGTGGGCTTGCACAGTGGTTCTGCTACGCGAGACAATGTCACGGCTTGTAGAGGCGCCGCGATTGGGGGCTGCAGTATGTGGATCTGATGAGGCGCCGCGATTGTGGGCTGCAAATATTTTGCTCGATGAAGATTGGGTTAATGGAGATTTTAACTAGTAATTATTTGCGGGGTGAAATGAATCAAATTCGATTCCATCTGTATCTTCAGTCTCTTTCCATTTTTCACCTTCAATTTTCAATAGTAAAAGGCCCCTCTTGTCCGTCGGTTCAGCTTCAGTGGAAGCACCACCTACATCTGGAGGACTTGCTCCTGCAATTTCTTTGACAGACAATGCATTGAAGCACTTCAATAAGTTAAGGTCTGAAAGAAATGAAGATTTATGTCTAAGAATTGGTGTTAGACAAGGAGGATGTTCTTATTGAAGATGCAAGATTCCAATCTCATGAATCACCTACACAGTCAGCAAGAAGGCAACCAAGCTGGAATCGATGACAAGGATGGAGCAGAAGAACAATCTAGAAGAAGCTGATTTGTTAGGCAGTTATTTTTTGTACAGCATTGCATGTTTATTGTTTTCCCCTTTCACGTGTAAGTTAGCTGGTTTGTTAGGATAGATTCCATTTAGTTGCTGTATATATTTTGCTGGTTTGCTGAATGTAAAGCATCAATTCGTTCATAAGAAGAAATGAATACATAATTTCAGCATCAAATCCATCTTTTATATTTCAAAAGTTCACATGGTATCAGAGCCTAAATGGAAGAATCTAATTCAGCAAACACAAATGCAAATCCAAATCAAATCCAGAATACTCAACCAACGGAGGAAAGGAATTCACCTGTTCTTCCTCATGATCCAACTAATCCCAGTAGCCCTTATTATATAGGGAACAATGATGGAGGAAATCTCATGCTAGTCACCCATGTCTTGGATTCAAGCAATTACTACTCTTGGGCTCGTTCAATGAAGAGAGCGTTAAGAATCAAAAACAAATTGGGATTTATTGATGGTTCCTTGTGCGAACCAAATGATCCCAGTGAACCCCTGATGGAACATTGGCTAAGGTGTAATGACATTGTCATAACTTGGATGCAAAATGCCATGGCAATCGACATTAAGAGTAGTACTATCTATGCTGAAACTGCTCACCTCCTTTGGCTGGACCTTGAGCAAAGGTTTTCCCAACAGAATGCTCCACGTATTTTTGAAGTTAAGAAGGATATCGCAACTCTGATGCAAAGCCAAGATTCTGTGAGTATTTATTATTCCAAGCTCAAAATCCTTTTGGATGAACTATTAAATTATGAGAATGTACCTAATTGCACTTGTGGAGAAATGAAGACAGTCGTTGAAAATCAACAGAGAGATTGGGTCATGAAATTTCTGATGAGATTGAATGACTCTTATAAAGAAATTAAGGCTCAGATTTTACTGATCAAACCATTTCCCAGCTTGAATGAGGTATATTCTTTAGTCCAACAAGAGGAGAAGAGGCGGGAGATATCAAATCCTAGTCCTGTCAGTTCTGATTCCATGGCGTTTTTTAGCAGAAGAAACTATAGACAGACATGAAACCAAAACTTCTCCTCACAAAAGAAGGATCGATACTATTGCACTCATTGCAAGATTGCAGGTCATTCTCTTGATAGATGCTTCAAGGTAAATCCCAAGTCGACATGCTCTTACTGCCAGATGCCAAGACACTCAGCAGATAGGTGCTATAAGCTGAATGGATATCCACAAGGACACAGATTTGATGATAAAGGAAAGGCTGCTGTTAACATGGTCTCTTCAGCAACACCATCTAGCCAGGAAGTAGCAGGGGACAAGGGCCAAATACTCTTAAGTGAGGAGCAATATTCTCAGCTGATGGCACTCATCGGCACTCATCAGACCTATGACAAATCCTCAACAACCTCTGTTCTCACCAAACAACACTCAGACACCAACTAATCCCCTACCATCTGCTGATTTTAACAACAAGATATCTGGTATACCATTGAGTCTAACCACCTATCACTATGATCAAGGAACCATTTCTGAAATTCCTTGGATCCTTGACACCGGGGCAACAGACCACATGATCTGTTCTACCTCATTTTTTACTTCCATTCAAGCTAAAGTGTCTTATTGCGTAGGACTACCAAATGGAAAAAATGCCCCAGTCACTCATGTTGGGACTGTCAAAATCTCAGATGATATCACTTTATTTAATGTGCTTTGCATTCCTAGTTTTTCATTCAATTTGATTTCAGCAAGGAAACTTGCACAAACTGAAAATTGTTGTCTAATTTTCCTTTCAAATTGCTGTTATATTCAGGACCTTTCGAGCTGGAGAACGACTGGAATGAGTGAGGTGAAAGGTGGACTTTATCACATGGTGAAAGAGCAAGTTTCTCCTTCAGCTTTATCAAATGCTTTCAATCAATTCAAGTGTCTGTCCTCCACTTCTGAACCTGTTGAGAATAATCAGAATTCTGTTTTGTGGCATTACAGATTAGGGCATTCTTCAGTTACTGATTTCACTCCTGAGGAAAACTTTCGAATATCCCCTAGTGTAAGTTATTGCCCCATTTGCCCTTTAGCTAAACAACACAAACTGCCTTTCAACATCAGTCACCACGAATCAAGAAAATGTTTTGAATTAATCCATTGCGATATTTGGGGACCATGTAATGAATTAAGCAAAGACGGCTCTAAATACTTCTTATCTATTGTCGATGATTTTAGTAGATGCACATGGGTTTACATGCTTGTTTTTAAATCTAATGCCACCACAGCTTTGCAAGATTTCTGTGCCATGATTGAGAATCGGTTTGAAACTAAAGTCAAAACCATTAGAACTGATAACGGAGGGGAGTTCAACATGACTGATTTTTACTCAAAAAGGAGAATAATACATCAAAGAACTTGTGTTGAAACCCCTGAACAAAATGCGGTAGTAGAACGAAAACATCAACATATTTTGAATGTGGCAAGGGCTTTGCAATTTCAAAGTAGACTCCCTCTGAAATTCTGGAATGATTTTGTACTGACTGCAGTATATTTAATAAATAGAACACCAACTCCCGTTTTAAACAATCGAAGTCCTTTTGAAATATTATTCAAAAACAAGCCTAAGTATGGCCACTTGAAAGTTTTCGGCTGTCTAGCCTTTGCTGCCACACTTGCAGGTGGTAGGCACAAATTTGATCCTAGATCTAGGGAGTGTGTTTTTATCGGTTACCCTTTTGGAATAAAAGGATATAGGTTGTTGGATTTAAAAACAAATAAGGTCTTCATCTCAAGAAATGTTAACTTTCATGAAAGTATTTTTCCTTTTAAGAACACAGGTTCTAACAAAAATACAGCCTTGACTGACTTCAATCATCTCAGCTTTACACAAAATCCTGCCATTAGCAATGATTTCACTACTCCTTCATTTGATAATACCAAATATAATGGTGAACATGATTCTATAAATCATTTAGAATCCCTCAATTCTCATGAGAACACAAATCAGAACATTGATCAACCAGATACTGATCAATCAGCCACTGATGTTGCAGAACCAAATACACCAATCATCAGCCATTTGCCTCGCAGATCCAACAGAATTCGAAAAACTCCTTCTCACTTGCAGGATTTCATGTGTCAACAGGCATCTTCACCTCCCTCACTCCAGAAACTCAACAGCAAGAAGGAAACTGAAGCTGCAGGTAATGCTTTTCCCCTGTTTGATAGCATTTCCTATGATAAACTATCCACTCACCACCGTGCTCTTGCCACTTCAATAATAAGTCACACAGAGCCTAAAACCTATCAAGAAGCCTTATCCTCTCGTGAATGGTGTGCTGCCATGAAAGCTGAGATTGAAGCCCTCGAACTTAATGATACTTGGACCTTGGCCAAACTACCTTCTGGCAAAGAAGCAATAGGGTGTAAATGGGTCTACAAGGTGAAATTCCATGCAAATGGCAGTGTTGAGAGGTTCAAAGCACGATTAGTAGCTAAAGGATACACGCAACAAGAGGGGCTTGATTACCACGAGACATTCTCTCATGTGGCAAAGTTGATTACCATCAGAACTTTACTTGCGGTTGCAGCCATCAAGGGATGGAACTTGTGTCAATTTGACGTGAATAACGCCTTTTTGCATGGAGAGTTGGATGAAGATGTCTACATGGAACTACCCCCTGGTTACTCTAATGCCAATGGAAACAAAGTGTGCAAGTTGCGGAAGAGTATCTATGGCTTGAAGCAAGCCTCACGCCAATGGTATTCAAAATTCTCCAATTTTATTATTGAACAAGGTTACATTCAATCAAAGGCTGATTACAGTTTGTTCATCAAGTCGTCTGGTGAATTTTTTACTGCAATACTTGTTTACGTTGATGATATAATAATTGCTGGGAACTGTATTAACACTATTAATGAACTTAAAGTATCCCTCAATGATAAGTTCAAAATCAAAGACCTAGGGAAATTGAAGTATTTTCTAGGTATTGAGGTTGGAAGGACCACAGATGGAATACACATTTGTCAAAGGAAATATGCCCTCGACATTCTAAAAGACTCAGGCACCATTGGGTCCACTCCTGCCAGAATTCCCCTCGATCAAAACGTGAAGCTTAGCAAAGATGAAGGAGAATTGCTACCTGAACCATCACTTTACAGGAGATTGGTAGGTAGATTGCTATATCTAACCATCACCAGACCAGATCTTGCCTACTCAGTCCAACGGTTAAGTCGTTTTATGGGTAGTCCTAGAATCCCACATCTACATGCTGCTCATAAGGTTTTAAGGTACATCAAATGAGCACCAGGTCAAAGGCTATTTTATCCTGCAGATTCAAACATACGGCTGAACGGATATTGTGATTCAGATTGGGGGGCCTGTGTTGATACCAGAAGATCAGTGACTGGTTACTGTGTATTCATTAGCAAGTCTCTAATATCATGGAAGTCAAAGAAACAGCATGTGGTATCTCGATCTTCTGCAGAGGCCGAATACAGAGCAATGGCTAACCTATGTTGTGAAATTACTTGGCTTGGTTACTTACTTAAAGATTTGAAGATCAAACTTTCTGAAGCTGCCGTTCTTAACTGTGATAATAAGGCAGCCATCTACATAGCCACAAATCCGGTTTTTCACGAAAGAACCAAACACATTGAACTTGATTGTCACTTGATTCGAGACAAGATACAAGATGGTAGCATTGTGACTCAACATGTCTCCAGTAATTCTCAGATTGCTGATGTCTTAACCAAGTCCTTAACTTCACAAAATTTTTATTCATGCCTATCCAAGATGGGAGTAATGAACTTTTACTCTCCATCTTGCGGGGGGATATTGAAGATGCAAGATTCCAATCTCATGAATCACCTACACGGTCAGCAAGAAGGCAACCAAGCTGGAATCGATGACAAGGATGGAGCAGAAGA